AAGGAGGTGGGGGTGGGAGTGAGTGATGGAGGTGAGGGGTATGGGTGCTGGTGGAGGTGGTGGCGGTGGCGGTGGCAGTGATGGTGGTGATGCTGGCAGTGGCTGTGGTAGTGGTGACGGTAAGGCTGATAGTGGGGGGTGGTAGCGGTTAATCCCGGTCATTGACAGAGCCATAGTGATTGGGATCGAACGACCCCATGGAAGCCATAGAAATAGGCTTGGAGGTCCACCTGAGCCAGTAGAATGACCACACGCAATGCCCTCCAACTGCCCGCTAGCTTGGAGGTCTGCTAGAGTGCATGCTTGTTGTGTTTTTGTTTCAAACTCCGTGGGCAAAATGACATTGTTTTGGCCCAACCAATTTTGTAAAAAATTTCCTGGTCAAAACAGCGCTGTTTTGGTCTAGGTTTTAAAACAAAAACAAAAACAAAACAAAAACCCCATCCCACCAGATACCCAGCCACTCCAAACCCCACTTCTATTTATCCTCAACCCTAAACCTAGACCACCCCCCCAAAAAAAAAAAAAAAAAAAAAAAAACCTTACCCCCCCCATCCCCTCCATCGCCGCTACTGCAGCCACCACCTTTTACCCTATGAACCCTACGAGGTAAGTTTCCTTGATCTGTCAGTGATTGCGATGACATGTAACATTAGACGTCATATTTATATACAATGAAAAAGGAAAATAAGAAATTGATAACAAGTCACGAGCATATCTTAATTTCCATTATTGCACAAATGAATCATGGGGAAGAGAATAAAAATTCTTTAAAAAAAGAAAATTAATATTACCACTAGTGCCATACATTGTGATAAAATTAATTTAGTCCCAGTCACAATAGGCTTAAGAATGACATTTTCAAAGAGTCTATTCTTCAAAACAGTTTATCACCCCTATTTTTCTAGATGTGTCCTTCTCAACAGTTTACGCGCCATTAAAAAAAAAAAAAAAAACTATTGAGACGCACATTCGGGAGATAAAAGAAAACTTTTTAAACGGTTATATAGAAAAGGGAAATTTGCATAAGTATCATATGAACTTTTAGGTATGTGCACGATTACCACATGAACTTTTAATTTTTATTGTTAATCACCTAAACTTTATAGAATGTTGCAATGCACCATCTATGTTTAATTCTGTTAAATTTTCCGTTAAGTTTAAGGACATTTATGTTAATGCCCTATAACTAAAAAACTTAGGGATATTTGTAAAACTCACAAAATTAGATGGGGTCACTGAAATAGATGGGGTCACTGGCTTCACCAAAAAAAATTGGACAACAACACCCCTCGAACAAAAAGATTGATAACTGACGTAAAATATAAATCTTAAACTCATATGGTTAGCATTGTAAAATCGATAAACTAATCTCTACTACTATAAAGCGAGGCTTAAAACAGTTGTGGTCACAAGCTTCACCAAAAAAAAAAATTGGACAACAACACCCCTCAAACTAAAAAATTGATAACTAATGTAAAATATAAGGATGGTGTATTCAATTTAGATTTTAAATGATTTTAAAAGAGTTATAAAGTTGATGGAGTTTAATTGAGTTTGACTGAATTTTACAAACTTCACATAGATTTTGACTGAATTCGTGTATAGATTTTAACTGAGTTTGTTAGAATTTTATTATTGATTTTAATGGAGTTTATAGCTATGGCGGTGGTGGTGATGACGATGGTGGTTTGTGGGGGAGGTAGTGGTGGACGAGGTGGGGGTGATAGTGGTGGTGGCGGTGGAAGTGAGGTGGTGAAGGAGGTGGGGGTGGGAGTGAGTGATGGAGGTGAGGGGTATGGGTGCTGGTGGAGGTGGTGGCGGGTGGTGGTGCTGGTGGTGGCGGTGGTTGGTGGGGGAGGTGGCAGCGGGTGGTGGTGGAGGTGGAGATGGTGGTGGTGGTGGTGGCGGCGACGAAGATGACTGTGGTGACGGGAGCTATGGTGATAGTCATGATAAGATGGTGGTAGTAGAAGTGGTGAAATCATATCTTGAAAATAAAAATAATATATTTATGAAAATCTCTAGGGAGAAGCAAAGATTTGTCATGGCGTAAAATTAGTCTATTATCAAACGAAATCCATCACTTTTTGTATTTCCTTTTAAATCAATGAGTTTTTTAATACACCCAAACTTGTATGAAGTCTTTTAAAGTCGTGATTGAATACATTCAACAACCAAAGAATAGTACAAATGAACGTAAAACAGATGAATGAACCGATAGGTAGAAGAAACATAAAACATATGAATAAACCAGAGAGTACATATTTGGGATGTTTTGTGTCATAATATTCATACGCTAAATTTAGATTGAATTATCGTGCTATTGATTAGGATATGAAATAATATATTTTACTAAGTTGATGGCCTGGGAAGACAAAGGGATAGGAATTTATTTTTGATAAATTCTCTTATATGAGTTCACATAATTATAAGTTGGTTAACAAGATGGACAGATGACAAAAACATAGGTAGGGGACAGGGAGAGTACATAGAATTTGGGAAAAAAGAATAGTGGTAATGTCACAAACCTCCAAATCTTGGCTCGTTTTCTCCGAGTATACCTCAACCATAATGCATTAGATTATTTGAAGGATCTCTCAATAAAAGAAGACTATACATATATATGATCTATTGAAAAAGGGTCGTGATCCACCCCACGCCTATATAAGAAGTAATAAGTTTTTTAAAAATGCAGATAGAAACTATAGAAATAAAGTGTGAGTTTAGGCGAAAGGTCCAAATTCATGCTGCGAATGGAGATGACCAGCTTAGGTTGCGGAACTTAGAAAACTAATCTCAGTACAACAATACAAGTTCTGACTACATCTCTATATTGAATTATCATCTCCATTGTGATGATCACTTCAACAAAAATGTTTAAACTGAGTCCATAATGTGATGATGTAATTATTCCTCGTGCCAGATGGAAATATCTGTGGAACCAAATGCCTCAACCCTCCGCAATTAAATTCATAAATCAATTAGATAAGCAATTGAGATGCTAACATTAGGAATTTAGAAAGAGTTTTAGAAAAAGACAAAAAGTCATCCAACTTAATACTTAATCCTAGTACATCTATACACACATCCTACCACTCTTCATATTAAGCTTTAGAAAAACACAAAAACAAAAAATTCTTCTACACCCTATTGCCAAATTACTCTTTTATTTCAATCCAAGAAACCTACTACACTCTCATCTTCTCTTCACAAAGCCTATATACGGTATGCAAATAGTGACTTGTAGGTCATCAATTGAGTTTGACAACACTGTTTTTATCTCTTTAAGTAATATGAGATTGAGGTGAACTTAGAGACAAACCAAATGCGTTGTTCTTACAAGTCAAATAGATCAAGAATTAATCAAGAAAAGTCAATGAATGTTCCTAATGAATGTTGAGTCATCTATATATAACTCGAACCATGTTCCACCACTACATGACATGTAATATGGCACCTATTGATTTGTTAGAAGGAGTCGCTCCATTGATTTTAGAGGCCCTGGACAAAAATGAAAAATGTGGCCTCTTTTATTTAACACTTACCTCATTTTGAACTAAAATTATAATAAAAAGTTTCAAGCTTAGGTTGTAAATAGGTTAGTTTAAGTATAGAAAAAAAATGCCAAAAAAGGTTCAAATTAAAGCCCGAAAAGTATTAGCTTCACACATAAAATGTCTTTTTTGCTAGTATACTTATCAGATTCGAGGTGTGTAGGAGGCCCCAGTTTTTTGGGGACCTATGTCATTGCCATCTCTCACACCCTGTAGGCCAGGCCTATAGACAGTTAATCACGATTCACAATGACATGTAATATTAGACGTCATATTTATATACAATGAAAAAAGAAAATAAGAAATTGACAAGAAGTCACGAACATATCCCTCTATTATTGCACAAAAGAATCCTGAAAAAGAGGATAAAAATTCTTTAAAAAAAGAAAATTAATATGACCACTAGTGCCATACATTGTGATAAAAGCCATTTAGTCCCATTCACAATGGGATTAAGAATGACATTTTCAAAAAGTCTGTTCTTTGAAATAGTTTATCGCTTGTATTTTTCTAAATGTGTTCTTAACTGTTTACAGTGGTGTGTTTGGATAGAGAAATAAACTTGGGATTTTGACAAAAATCAGAATTTTCTAAATTGATATGAACGAATTCTCATGTTTGGATAAAAAAAAACATAGATATTAGAAATTGCGAGTGGGAAAAAACATGGAATCTGGAGATCATAAATCCCAACTTTAAATTCTATCTAAAAGTCGTCATTTCTAAAATCCCAATAGAGATTGAGTTTTTTAAAAAAATAAGGTTAAAATTCCGTGTTTTAAATCGGTCACCCAAACAAAAAACTTTACAAATTCTAGAACATTATTAACTTCCGTCATTTATGAAATTATTTGTACTTTTAAATTTCCTCATCCAAACGCATTGTTAGAAGAAAAAAGAAACTATTGAGACACACATACAGATGATAGACGAAAACTTTTTAGATGGTCATCTAGAAAAATACAATTGCCAAAAAAGTTTTTAGATGGTCATCTAGAAGGAAGGGAGACTAGTCATACGAAATAATTAAAAAAAAAACAGTTCCAAAATATATGATAAAGAGAAGCAAACTACTTTTATACAAAAATAAAAATTCCGATGGTGAAAGACAAATTAGAACACAAAATAATTGTTAAAGACCATGTTCCTGATATGAACGAGAAGACCAGGAAGGAGGGACGGTTATTGAGACTGAGAGAAGGCATGACGGTTAGTATTATATCCTTTTCATCTACACGGAAAAACCACATTAACTTCCTTTATTTGGGACTCAAAATCATCAAAGAAAAAAAAACTGAAACGCTACTTGAGGAAACGAAATCCGAAACTCAAAACTAGAAAGAAATTAATGCACTGCTAATTCAAGACGCCACCGATTAGTTTTTAATTATAATTTATTATTCAATCAAGGCTGAAATGGAGAAAAAATAATATTGATTGATATGGTCGGTTGAGGAACGAAAAATCCCAAACGAAATCAAAATATCAAAACTAGAAATTAATTACCTGCTTATTAAAGACGTCACCGATGCCTGCATTGGGGTCTATTAATTTTTAATGATAATTTATTATTCAATCAGGAAAAAAATCTCCTGCAATATCTAATTCGATCACTTCTATGTGTGGCCCTAGATGGAATGCATGCGAAAAAAATAGAGTATATTTTCTGTCGTTTTTGCCATAAACGCCATCCTTTTCATTTGGATTGGTAGTATGCAAGAGAAGAGCGACAAAGTAGTACAATTTCGGAAGTGGGGCTCAATGAAATATCAATTACAGCAAACTTGAAAAGAAAAAAAGAAACGTAAAACAAAGGAAAACCCACATTAATTAACTTCCTTTATTTGGGACTCAAAATCACCAAGGAAGATTCCTGCTTTATTTGAGAAGGATTTAGGGTTTAGGGAAAATCAAACCCTGCTTATTATAGATTCGTGCATTGGGGACAAATATTATATCGATTTTTTATTCCAATAATATTGATTAATATAATATAATATGGTTTGGATTTTTGGGAAAGACTTGTGGTGCACGCTCATGCCTATATAACAAGTAAGAATTCATCTCCCTTCTTTCATTCCCTCACAATTGAATTCACCCAAAAGCCAAACCAAACCACCCGTCATTTTTTTTCTCAAGTCGCAACCATAAAGCCAAACCCCAAGCTCTACAGAAATCAGCCATGGACCTCGTCTCATCTTTGGAGTGCCTGAAATTGGATTCCCAGTCGGAGGTGCCCCATAAGGACGGCGGCGGAAAGGACCTTTTATCGCCA